TTTCAGCTGCAACACTTTCCAACATTACTACCAAAATGGTTACGAATCAGTTTTTGGTCAACTTTACATTCAGTTTGGTTATTTAGGGTGCTGATTCAGAGAATTGCATCGGATAGATCATGTCAGCTCTAGTTTCTGATACAGGACATATGCCATCCAGTAGTCGCCATCCGCTTGCCTACAGAAAACCATATTTAATAAGTCTCGGCATTATAACAGGGTTTCACGAGACCAGTCGTTCTTGTTGCAACAGTGTAGTAATGGTGAGTTCTTATGGACCACAGGTCGGGAACCACTACTATACAGGTAGTTCCCATAAGATAGGTTCTGCAGGTTTGTTCTTAAGCTGAATTTGTTTGTAAGTCAGAACAACACCATTTTTAAGTGTAACTCCAGCCATAGATATATATACAGAAAGCGAGAGAGAGAGAGAGAGAGAGAGCTTTGGATAGCATAGGGAAAGGTTAACACCCCTGTGGTGTTTGCTTTGCTGTCTGTGCCCCTGTTCACAAGATTTCACCTCACTTTCTGTCCCTGTGATAACTGGATTTTGAAAAATTTGGCTTGTTATGGAAACAAGGATTGGTGATAAAGCTTCAGTGGAGACACCTTTTCCTCATCTTCTGAGAGTGAATTTCCCAGAGTGGGGTAGGAGGGGGGTAGATTTCTCTCACTTCCTGTTGTCTCCGCCTCATTCTTTACTATGAGTTGTTTGTAAGCTGGATGTTTGTAATTTGGGGACTGCCTATACACACAATCCTATGTACCTGGAAATTAAAAAATCCTTTGGTGAATTACATACATTTAAAGGCTGTATGAGGGTTGAGATCCTTGGAAGGGGCAATTTCATACATTTGGGGTCACAACCAAAAATGTCTTGTTCTTGATACCTACCAATCTGTCTGACTTCAATGTTAAGTGAAAGAGTACCTCTGGGCCAAATCTTAAGTACTGAGTTTATACTGATTTTGGTGGTCTTTTTTTTTTACCTAAATCAGTTTAAATGCATTGAGGGGTTCAAAGGACAGTTGTTGCTGTGTGTCTTCAAGTTGTTTCCAACTTATGTTTATTTTCTTGACAATATTATTTTCCAAAATGAGTTAAACATTGCCTTCCCGAGAGCATAACTTGACCAAGATTATCCAGTGGGTTTCAATGGCTAAGCAACAAATTGAACCCTGGTCTCCTGACATCCCCCACTTACTCCAACACTCAAATGGCTATACTATGCTGTCTCTCTTAAAGGTTAGTACCAGCATTCAAAATAAACCTGGAAATAACAGGTTAACCAATATATGACATAAAATCACTGCAATACGATCAAGCTGGCTAGCATCCACAAGCATTCTGGAAGTTAAAATATATACCAGCAGATCTCTCTGAACTGACTTTAAACTGCAAAGCCTTATGTAGAAAGCATAAAGGCAGCCTAGTCCAATGTAACCAATGCATGCATAATAGTAAACACTACAATGCATTGATCCCTTGGGGCTGGCTAGTGTCCAGAGTGTATATGATGTTGACATGGAAGGGACATGTTGTATTCACAGAAGAGCTACGCCAGTTCAAGCTCAGTGTGCAACTAACAAAGAAGCCCTAGAAAGCTAATACAATTAAGGATGCTCACAGGCAGTCCTCAAAACTAAGTGTTCCTTCTCACGGTTTTGGAAGAGTGTGAGGACAGAGTTAGACACAAAGAGGTTGTGTGAAAAGGCAGAAGTGTTGTGGCATGCTAATGAGTTACAATTGCAAATTAGAAGGAAATTACCCAGATGAGAGACTTTTTAGAAACCGTTATCAGTATATAGGGATAATAAGAATCCCCATAATTTAGAAACCCTAAATTAAAGTATGTAGGACTTATTTTCAGATAGGTTGCAACAGTGAAGAATTAACTGTTAAATAAAAGTCAAGGAGGTTGAGACTGAGTCTAGACCAGGCATGGGCAAACTTCACCCGCAACCAGAGACACATCCACAATGTAGAACAGACATCGGCAAACTTGGATGCTCCAGGTGTTCTGGACTCCAACTCCCACAAATCCTAACAGCCTCAGGCCCCTTCCTTTTCCCCTTCAGTCACTTAAAGGGGAAAAGGAAAGGGCCTGAGGCTGTTAGGAATGGTGGGCATTGAAGTCCAAAACACCTGGAGGGCCCAAGTTTGCCCATGCCTGGTCTAGACTCATTTCCAGAAACAATAAGAAGGTATCAACTATAAAGCCCACATAACATTTTATTCAAAATCTTTCCATGTGAACATGAGAATGGAGGAAAGGAAAGAAAAGAATTCTAAAATAAAAATCCATACAGACAAAAGATTAAGGCAAGACACACTACTATAAAAAGAGGAATTAGCAACTACTATGGCAATGTTGTGTGCAAAACTGTCTTGGACACCCATTGAACTATCTCAAGAATGATCATGAGATAGTTCCCAATAGTGATCATCTGCGTAAACAACTTGAAAGCATTTGGATCTCGAAAGGTCTGTTTTCTAAAATAAATACACCAATTATATAGATCAGTTTTCCCAGCATGGCTCAATCCTGTACCACTTGCCACCCATGAACAGAAGTTGTCCAAATACAAGACCATCCACTACCCTGCCTAGAACAGAAAGCCAGGAGTTTAACAAAACTCAGCCTGATGGATGGGATCTCTTGTGCTGGCATTTCATCTACTCCCAGGCAAATCTTCACTGCAGCCTGTAGGTTGGGCTTCTCGTGCCACTGTTTTCCTGCAACTAGACCACATGAACTGTGCCACCCAGAATCCTAACTCCTCTCCCATCCAAGAAAAACACAACCAGGTCAAGTCACTGGGAAAGAACAGCTCATTCTCCCTTTTTTTGGCAAGCTGACTCTTCAGGCAGGTATCCAATTCCCTGGTGCCCCAAAGGCACCACAGGCAGCAACCTCCTTCCACTAGGGTAGCATCTAGTAGTTCTATGTCTACAGGGGGTGATGTCCTTCTGCAAGAAAGCATGCCCCAAAGACAAGTTCCTTTGTTCACCACACATCCTGCAATGCATAAGCAATCCTGGCACCCAATGTATTCCAACCCAGAACCAAAATCAAACACCCTCTCGGAACAGAAGAGAAGGCAAAAAGGTGATGCAGACATTTACATATTTGAATGGGTGTCACATTAACCACACAGCAAGCTTGTGTTTTGCTTGGTCTAGAGCAGGTATGGGCAAACCCAGGCCCAGAGGCTGGATGCGACCCCTTCGGCTCTTTTCTCAGGCCCTCCTCTCTCTCTCCATCCCATCTTTCCTTCCTTCTCTCTTTCCTGCTTCCTTCCCTCACTCTTTCTCCCTCCCTCCTTCCTTCCCTTCCACCCGTTCATCCTTCTTTCCCTCTCTCCCTTTCTCCTTCCTTCCTTTCCTTTTGTCCTTCCTTCCTTCTCTTTCCTTCCTTCCTTCCATCCTTCTCTTCCTCCCTCCCTCCCTTCCCTCTTTCCCTTTTGTCTTTCCTTCCTTCCCTCTTTCCTCCCTCATTCCCTCTCTCCCTCTTTCTCCTTCCATTCTTCCCTTCCTCCCTTTGTCCTTCTTTCCTTCTCTCTTTTCTTCCTCCTTCCCTCCCTCCCTTACATCCCTCTTTCTCTCTCCTTTCTTCCTTCCCTTCCACCCTTCCACCCTTCCTTCCCCCTTTCTCCTTCCTTCCGTTGTGTATTTCCTTCCTTATCTCTTTCCTTTATCCTTCCTTCCATCCCTCTCTTCCTCCCTTCCTTCCTTGCCTCCCTCCTTCCCTTTTGTCTTTCCTTCCTTCCCTCTTTCCTGCCTCCTTCCCTCTCTCCCTCTTTCTCCTTCCATTCTTCCTTCCTTTCATCCTTCCTTCCTTCTCTTTTCTTCCCTTCCTTAACTCCCTCTCCCTCCGTCCTTCCCTTTCATCCTTCCTTCTTTCCTTCCTTCCTTCTCTCCTTCTTTCTCATTTCGTCCCTCCCTTTTGTCTTTCCTTCCTTATCTCCTTCCTTTACCCTTCATTTCATCCATCCTTCTCTTCCTCATTTCCTTCCTTCCCCCTTTACTCCCTCCTTCCCCTTCCATACTTCCCTTTTGTCCTTCTTTCTTTCTTTCTTTCCTTTCCCCTTCCTTTCCTTCCTTCCATCACAATCCTCCTTGCAGGTACTAGCTTTGTGGCCTCCCAAGTTAGAAAGTTTGCCTATGCCTGGTCTAGAGATTAGGACACAGAGCAATGGAGTCAAAGGACAGGAAACGAGATGAAACATTAAGAACTTCCTGATGGTCAGAGATGTTCCTTAAACAGAGACTATGAGTGGGTGGGTGGCTGTCAGGGAGTGCTTTGGCTGGGTGTCCCTGCATGACAGAAGGGGGCTGGACTGGATGGCCTTTGGATGGTCCTCTCCAATCCTATGATAGCGTGATTCCAACCCAGTAGAAGAACCAATGTGGATAAGTATGTTGAGCATTGGAGTTCTGGGTGCATCTACATTAGGCATGTGCAAACTTGGGCCCTCCAGGTGTTTTGGACTCCAATGCCCAGCATTCCTAACAGCCTCAGGCCCTTTCCTTTTCCCCCTCAGACGCTTAAGCAGCTGAGGGGGAAAAGGAAGGGGCCTGAGGCTGTTAGGAATGGTGGGAGTTGAAGTCCAAAACACCTGGAGGGCCCAAGTTTGCCCATGCTTGCTCTACACTTTTGAATTCATGCAGTTGACACCACTTTAGACTCAATGCGATGGAATTAGGGGGAGTTGTAGCTTTGCCTAAACAGTGCATCACCAAACCACGACTGCCAGGATCCCATAGGAATGAAAGTAGTGTTGAGCTGCATTCATTCTAAGTCTAGATCTCTGGAAAGCAGAGTTCAAATCCCAGCTGAAGGAGAACCTGGGGCGCCTCTTCTGAGAACTCTTCTGAACCAACAAAGCTCGAAAAGAAAACCCCGGAGAAGGCTTTGCCTCGAAGGCACAACCACAACCACAACAACAGATGGGGAGGGGAGCCAGGGCTGTTCTTTCCTGGGAGCCTTTCCGACTCACCGACTGGAGGAAGCGCAAAGTGCCCACGTAGTCTCTCTCGGTGCCCAGGATCTCGTTGAGGACGCAGAGCCGGAGCCTCAGCTGGCGGTCCGTATCCTTGGCGGGCTCCGAGGAGGACGCGGTGCTGGTGGGCACGGCTGCCAGGGCGGTCGTCGAGGCCCCCGGCTCGGCTTCCATGCTGCGGCTGAGTCGCCCCCTCGGCTCTTCCTGCCGCTCCTCTGGCTCAGGCGCCGGCCATCCCAGAGAAGAAGAAAGGCTTGGACTGTGCGCAGAGACTGCTGTCCCGAGAGCGCCGACGGCAGAGAGCGAGCAGCGCAGGACGAGTGGCACTCAAAGGAGCGGCGAAGGGCAGACCCAGCACAGGCAGGGAGGGAGGAGGAGGAGGAGGAGGAGGAGGAGGAGAGGGGGGGGCGAGGGCCAAGCCGGGGGCGGGGTCTCGAGGCAAGGAGGAGGAGGAGCCAGGCGCCGAGGTGGGAAGCGGGTGAGCCTAGCAGAGAACCAATGCGCCCCAAACCCAGGAGAGGAGAGGAAGGGGCCCAGCCACACTTAGTTCTGCTCCAAATCCCTGCAAAGGGGAACCGGGGGGGGGGGCATAAATACAATTCCCAACACCCCTAATCCACTCTGTCACGCGGTTGTCGGGACGGGGAGCCAGCGCAATCGGGTCTGCACTGCAAAAATGCAGTTACTCTTCTTCCTTCCTCCCTCCCTTTCTTTCCTTGCTTTCTTTCTTTCTTTCCTTCCTTTCTTTTCTTCCTTCCTTTCTTTTCTTCCTTCCTTCCTTTTCCCTTCCTTCCCTCTCTTTCTTTCCTTTCTTCTTTTTTTTCTTTCCTCCCTCCCTCCCTTTCTTTTCTCTTCTCCTTCTTCCTCCTTTCTTCTTCTCCTTCCTTCTTTCCTTCCTTCTTTCTTCTTTCCTTCTCTTTTTCTTTTCCCTCCTCCTTCTTTCTTCCTTCTTCTTTTCTCTCCTTCCTTTTTGTCCTTCCTTCCTTTCATTCCTTCCTTTCTTTTCTTTCATTTCTTCCTTCCTTTCTTTCCTTTTTTTTCTTCTCCATCTCACCTGCAATTGATCCTTCTTCCTTCATTTCCTCCCTATCTTTCTTTTCTTCCTTCCTTTCCTCCCTTTCTTTCCTTTCTTCCTTCTTTCTTACTTTCCTTCCTCTCTATTTTTCTTTCTTTTCTTCCTTCTTTCTTTTCTTCCTTCTTCCTTCCTTTCCTCCCTCCCTCTCTTTCCTTCCTTCCTTTTTTCTTTCTTTCCTTCCTCTCTATTTTTCTTTCTTTTCTTCCTTCTTTCTTTTCTTCCTTCTTCCTTCCTTTCCTCCCTCCCTCTCTTTCCTTCCTTCCTTTTTTCTTTCTTTCCTTCCTCTCTATTTTTCTTTCTTTTCTTCCTTCTTCCTTTTCTTTTCTTCCTTCTTCCTTCATCTCCTCCCTCTCTTTCTTACCTTCCTTTTTTCTTTCTTTCTTTCCATCCCCTCTCTTTATTTTTTCCTTCCTTCCTTCTATGCAATCTTTTCTTTCTTTCCTCCTGACCTTCCCTCCCTCCTTCCTTTTCTTCCTTCTCTCCCTCCAGTCTCCCTCTTTCCTTTTCTATCCTTTCTTTCATTCCATCCTCCCTCTTCTCTTATCCTTCTTCCCCCATTCTCCTTTCTTTCTCCTCCTTCCTTCCCCCTCCCTTTTCCTTCTTTCATTTCTTCCTTCTTTCCTTTTTCTCTCTTTATTTTTCTTAGTTTCTGTTTTCTTTTTCTTTCTTTCCTCCTTCCTTTCTTTTGTTCTCTCCCTCTCTTCTCCCTCCTTTCCTTCCTTCCATCCATCCTGTCCTCTTGTCCTTCTTTACTTCCAATTTTCTTCTCTCCCCCACTCCATTCTCCTTTCTTTCTTTCTTTCTCCTCCTTCCTTCCCCTTCCCTTTTCCATCTTTCTTTCCTTCCTTCCTTTCTCTTTATTTTTCTTCCTTTTTTGCTTTTTCTTTCTTTCCTCCCTCCCTCCTTTCCTGCCTTTCTCTCCTTCCCTTCTCCCTCTCTCCTTTCCTTTTCTTTCCCTTCCTTCCTTCCTTCCATCCCTCCTTTCCTCTTTTCCTTCTTTCCTTCCATCTTTCTTCTCTCCCCCCACCCCCTCTATTCTCATTTCTTTCTCCTTCCTTCTTCCCTCCCTTTTCCCTCTTTCTTTCTTGTCTGCCTTTCTTTTCCTGGTTGGAAAGGGAAACACTTTTGTCACCATTGATTCCCCACAACACAGGAATGCAGAAAAGAAAAGAGCCTGTGCTGTGGCGACTGGCAGTGGCGCTTCTTGCCTTCATTCTTGCCTTCCTACAGAGTTACACTCCCCCTGAGGACACAGGTCTGCGGTCTGGGGGTCCTCCTGGACTCATCATTGACACTTGAAGATCAGATGTCCATGGTGGCCAGGAGGAACTTCGCACAGTTAAAACTTGTGCACCAGCTGCAACCATACCTCAAAAAGCCTAACTTGGCCATGGTGGTCCATATCTTAGTTACATCCAGAATGGGCTACTATAATGCTCTCTATGTGGGGCTGTGACATTGTTTAAAAGTGGGAAGACTGAGGAATAAATGAGGCTGCCCCTGCCAAATAGGGACCATTGGAGAAAGGATGCCCAATTTCCTTACAGAGCTGATCATGACAGGGCTGGATTAAGATTTTTAGAGGCCCTGAATACTTAAAAGATTCCACCACCACCCCACCCCCCTCACACACACACACAGATACAATAATCTGTAAATAAAAATTTATTTTGAAATTAAACAAAACTTACAATAAATCCCCATCTACACTGCCATATAATGTGGTGAACTCCCCCCTTCCCCAATCAAGGCAGCCTTCTGAGCCGGCAGCTGAGAGAAGCCCCATGGCTGCAAAAATAGAACTATTATGTGATGAAATATGGTATTTTGTTTTTTACCAGAACTCTAGAGCTACCAACTGGAATCTGCTGCAAAATATTATTTTTAGAAATTAAGAATACTCTGCCCAAGAATTCGTTTGGAGTTCCAGAAAGTAAATGGAGAACAGCTCAAATCTTTCCACACACAAAAGCTAACTTTAGTTCAACGGTATAATTGGATCATGGCTGTGGTGTCATTTCTTTTTTGCAATTGTTAAGGAATTCCCATTACAGATCACTGTGAGATCTAGCAGCAGATCCAAAGCATGGAAAGTGATTTCTCTGGGACTGCAGTGCTCAGGATTCCCAGCCAAATGGGTTAGTAAGTAAACCCCAGCTTGTCTTCTGTCTATTATATAAACGAGGGGTGTTCAAGTCAAACCAGGACTTTTAATTTTACAGGTATAAAAACTCAAAAGCTCTGGTTTGACTTGAACACCCCTTGTAAATCCTAGGTACTACCTAACCGCACACAGGAACAAGATAGTTTCTTGCCCTGGGCTGAAGAAAGAAATGGTACACCCTACTCACTTAGTCTAGATGTGTAGCATCCTAAACTAGCCAAGTGAATTTTGGCACACGAGGTAGGACATTCCAGAGGGAGATCCTTTAATCTCTAGCAGTAAAACTACAGTAATAACATAGCAAAATAACTCCATTTGCTGCCCTTTCATGGCACTCGACATCTGAGGTCTGAGATGGGGTTGTTTCAATCTAAGGACAGTGCCAATTTCAGCTAGTCTCACAATGGGATACTCCTTCCCATCTTGAAAATGTCAGGTAGGTTGGATCAATAGGCAACTACAATAACAACCTCCATGTGTTAGTTCCATATCTGGGCCAGTTCTACTATAATGTTTCAGGTAACAGATATTGGGAGTTAATGGTGGCAGCCTCTGGATTTCTCCTCTGGACTTCACCGGTTGTTGTGAAGGATGCCTTGCTATTCCATCAACCAGGGCTGGATTAACGGTTAAGCAGAATATGCCCATGCTTTGGGAATCAAGGGAAGCAGGCACCATATAAATTTTCCACTGTCATATGTATTTTACCATGGTCCATAATGGTGCAAAGCTGCAAATTGTGCAGCTGAACCAGGTTCACAAAAGGGCTCCCATGATAAAAGACTGCAACTAGAAAAAGTTGGAGAAAGCTTTTCAAATATTAACAAAGTTGACGTATACAAAAATAAACATTCTATTTACATTATGTTTCCAGCCAAGATGGAAACACCAGACCTGTGCTGGAGCAAACACAGTTTTGTTTCCCCTCCACACACACACACTTTTCCCTTAATACTGTATTGAAACCACGTTTCAGCAATGTGTGGAGAGCACTTACGGAACTCAAGCAGGCAGGAAGAGGTAGATGAGAGATCCCTGCAGAACAAGTCCTATTAGACTGCTTAATTGTTACTTACTTAAGATTTTGGGTTTTTTAAACTCCATGTTACATTCTCAGTGTCACCACAGTATTAAAATCAAATTCTCTCTGTCTTTCATCTTTGTCTCAAATGATAAAAAACAAACACTAGACAGACATGCATATTTCTACTTTAGCTAAATGCCAATCCCTAGCCTCACTCAAGATTTTAGCATAACATCAAATGGAATCGCTGCATATTTTGTTTCCTTTTCTACAAGGGCTCTATACATTCAAAACTGTGCTATGTGGATGAACCAGAAAGGGGGATCTTCTAAAACAACTGTTGGTTAATTGTTATTACTGTGCCTGGAGAAAACTGGAGTTGAGGGTGAAAGAGATCCAAAACAATTCAGTTTGAACTTGGGAAATGATGGTGCATGAAGAAAGCCATTCGGTCAATAAGATGCTTTCTGAAATGATCTAACATTTCATACGGATAACTTTTCTCTAAATATTGATGCGAATAACTTTCTTAAGACATTGCTTTTGCTTTTTAAAGAATTTTTCTGATTGTTGGCTTCAAAATTAGAAGCAATGCCTTGGCTTGTGTGCAGCAGCATCACCTTGGGAATCCATTAGGGTTGCTAAATTGCTGTCATCGGTGTCGGAAAGTGTCAGGTGCCAGAAAAAACATGAGTTCATTTTGGAATTTTTCTTAACTTAAAAAAGTTCTTAACAGCAGGTTTGTGAGAGACTGCATTATCCATTAAACTGTATTTTATTGTCTTTCTCCAGGGAGTTCAAGGTGACAGGCATTTGCCTGCAAGGAGAATAAAACTAAAAGCAGGTAGGAGACATGTGCATGAAACACTCCTCCAAGCATGCTTGCACATTATATGTGTGTGTGTGTTCAGGGGCTGCAGTGGCACAGCAGGTTAAACCGCTAAGCTGCAGAATTTGTTGATCAGAAGGTTAGCGGTTCAAATCCGCAGGTGGGGTGAGCTCCTATTGTTAGCCCCAGCTTTTGCCAATCTAGCAGTTCGAAAACATGCAAATGTGAGTAGATCAACAGGAAGGTAATGGCATTCCTTATAGTCTTCAGCAAGAAGGTAA